TCAAGCTGATCTCCTGTATTTGGGAATGGTTCTCTCTGTTCTCTGGAGGCACCTTGTAACCCCTCTGCCTCGGTCTTCCCATCTGCAGAAGGGGAAACCAGCAGGAGGTTTTGGCTGTTGAATAACTATCTGTGAGTCACTCTGAAGATACAAGGGGCAACACAGAACAGAGGAAGAAACAGCAAGAAGCCAACAGGCAATGCTCGTGCCAATACAGACGTAGGTTGCATCAAGCAAGAACAAGTGACATTGCTCCAAGTACCCGTTTCCTTTTTCCTTCCTCAAGGAGAATCAGGGTGATGAGAACGATTAGTGGCTGCTGGATGGGCAAGAGACTGTAGCACTAATCTCCGCAAATGGGCAGCTTGGAAGCTGCTGAATTTAGTACTGCTAATGAAGATCCCCCTGAGCAAACTATTCTCCAAGTGATGCTGTGGACCGGTGCAGGGAAGGAACAGAGCCAACATCTATTTCTGCCTGGCAAAAGCAAACAAGCAAACACACACACACCGAGATCACTGTGATTTTCAGAGAGTATTAGCAAAGGACAAAACTTGCATAACTGCCATAAATTATAAAAGCCTCCCTCAATCTTGGTTAATTCTCTTGTAAAAAGGGAGGGAAAAATCTGGAGCAGCTCAGCATGAAAACAATTGTGGGAGGGATAATAAAGAGACAGCGCCGAGGTATCTAGTTGCTAGCCCTGATATCATTAAGTAAGTGCACTAGAAATGTCGAGGTAAATGCATCGCAGTGAATCACAGTCAGGCATGATTAACCTTGGGTAGTCTGAACTGGAAATCATTTACAAACACAAAGGTACTGAAGAACATCACAACAGACAGCACATCGAAAGTCATCCTAAGAGCGGGAGTCTTGCCGAGTGCTTTGTGTATTTGTGCCATTTTTGAATTATTGTCATATTTTGCACGTGGGAGGATGGAAGACCTCAGACCCTTGGCTTGGGGAGGAGTTTATCTGGCACTGCAAGGTCCTCTGAAACACGTGCACTGGTTGGAATCACTTCTCCTTGCACAGAAGTTTTATAAAATTGAAAGTTTTAAGTGCAACGTTCCAAGGTTTACTGAAAAGATACAGTTTTTGCCAAAGAAAGACTAAAATTCTGTATCTGGAAATATGAAAGATCAAAAGAGCACTCTCTCCATTCCTCCCCAACTCTTTAACACAGCCCTTCAAACTGTAACTAGTAAAACTGGGGAAGAAAGGATTTTAATAAAGATTAGGTGTGTTTAACAAAATCCGTGAAAGTTTTCTGACCATTGAAAATTGAACTTTCCATCAGAAATCCAAAAGAACAAAACATTGCTGGATATTTCTGAACAGTCCTAAAAGTTTAGAAATGTGCAGCGAAGCTGTAACCAGATGACCCATAGACAGCTATGCATATTAAGACTACAACAACAAAAAACCACTTCAAATCCAGAATTCTTGTGGCTTTAAAATCATTCAATCACAAGGAACATGAATCAACTGGGGAGGGCTCCAGACAGCTTAACACCTTTGTAGTGCTTGCACCTTTTATTGCAATTCTTCAGTGCCAGTTCAGGTGATTATTGTGCACGCCGAGGCGGTGAAGGCCGTAGGAATATTGTGCAAAAGGATACAGCTCTGCTCAAACTTCCTCCCCGCTTTTGCATCATTCACATTCTCCTACATCCATCTCAGTTATCTCTAGCATTGTAATAACTGCCCTTATTTATCTGCCTCATTAAGATGTCGCAACAATTAACGTGTGTCATCTAATGCATACCAGTTTCTTAATGTTTAGTATTATTATCAGTGGAGAACTATGTCACACCGAGTCTATCTAGAGAGTTAATGCATACAGGAAAAAACCCACCCTATTCATAATGCTATTCAGAATGATACACTTCCTCTACCCAAACCCCTCTGAACAGACCACCACGCATCCTGCGCTCTAGATATCTACACTCTTGGAGGTTATGGGTAGCACCTTTGGCCTCAGGGCTCCAGATCACAACGCAACACCTATTTTTGAGGCTGTGGAGCCCAGTGGACAAGGCAGGAGGAATGTCTTGAAGGGAGACCTCATGTAAATGCTCGGTTCACGAGCGCCTCACTGCCTGATTCAGGAGGGTAATCAACCTGTCCTTTGAAGCTGCATAAATAATGTTTGGATGGAGGTAGTAAATCTGCACCAAGGATGAATTAACTGCCATTGAATCATATAAGCTTGGCTTGAGTGTGTGGCTTGTAACATGCCTGAGGAAAATAAAAAAGACATTTGCAAGAAAGAAACATTAATTTGCTCTTCCCCGTCTTTTCTGTTATTTCTATCTAGGCCAACATGACTTGCTTTGTGGGGTTTTTTGTTGCTATTTGTTCCATTTTCACAAGGAAACACTGATTCACAGTGAAAAGAATCCACAGTTTCTCCTGGTCAGGCCCTCCTTCGACACTCTCAAGGGAGCAACACCTGGCAAGAGGGTGAAGGCTTTTTTACTCATGGGGACCCCTGGCAGCATCCGTGACCCCTCGCAACACCTCTCCCCCTTGCATGCCCCGGCTGGCTCCCAGCTGCAGGCCTGGGCACTGCCAGGGCCAGCTGTGCAACGGCATGGTCTTCTCCATGTACGCAGGGGAAGAGCACGTCCATTACTGCAGATAGAGCCAGGCACGTGCACTCACGCATCCACGTGTACACACGCCCTACAGGTCCTTCTGGTGGTGCACCTTGTGCACAGGTGCAAGCCACTGCATCCCCAAAAGGACAGAGAAAGTGTGTAGTCACGACTGCCTGCGAACCAGGGATAAAAGTCGGTCCTAGAAGAAGGTGGAAAAGAGAAGAAACCTGGGGAACGCCAACAGAAAGTAGCCGAAAGAGAACTGGGACATCAGCGTGCACCTACACATCAACATGAGTTAATTTACTTCACTGTAGCACTCGGTATTTCATCCCCCTATTCAATATCACATAAATTTTAGTTTACTAACAGCTTTTGCTTGTATTGCTCTCCCTTCTTTCTCATTTCCAGTGTTTGACCTCTGTTTTTCTCTTCCACTGCTCTCAGTTTTGTATCTGTTTCTGAAAATTTGGCATTTACAGCTCCTTCTCCTCCTTCTTAGCTGTACCCCTCTCATTTTCTCCCTCCTCCTTTGGCACAGCACTTGCTGGTTCCCTTCCTCTCATCTCCTCCTTTCTCTCCTGCCTCCTTTTCCACACAAACAATTTCTCTAACTAGAAGGGTCTCTGCTTCTCCAACGCAGTCATTTATCAGTAGGAACCAGTCATTTCTCATTCTAAAAATTGCTATGGGAACCAATATCTGCCGTGGGGTAGCCTTAGCATAGAGTAACACTTTAAAGATAAGCATTATAAATATACTATATCTAGTAGAGAGCACAGTTTCAGAAGGTTGTACTAAGATCTCTTATTAGGCAAGGAAGTTTTCACACCTAAAGAGATTCTGAAGCCTGCTGTATCTAATACAGCACACTGTATGACACAGTATGTAGTCTCAAACCAAAACCAGAAAAATATTGGGGTGTATCTCTGAACCCAGAATATGGGTTCAGAGATATTCTGGTCATATTCTGGGTTCAGAGATACCCCTATTGCGGGTTCAGGGATCTTACGGGATTTTAATCCGACGAAGGATAATAAAGAAAAGAACGTTCCTCATGAATAAAATACCATTGAACTAGAAAAACCACTTTGGAGGACAGCTTATGTTTTACATATTGCTAAATATCAGCAAAAATAAATGTGTTCATTTCTCCAAAATACCTCCAGATGGCATTAAAACCCTTCTTCTTTTGGTCTTTATTGCAATATAATTTTTAAAAATGATAATTATTGGAATCATTCTATTAACCATTCCCAGCAATCATACTATCAGAAGGCATAAGGCTGTTAATGCTTAATTCATTTAATAAGTTTGGCTAAATATGCTCACATACTGTAATTACATTCCACAACACAATCTGCAGGACAAGCTATTTCTTACACCATGTCAAATCTTTTTCTAGATTCATTTCCAGAAGATTTTTAATGTGTATTTGCAGCAGAAATCAAAACATCCCACAATAAATCACTGTTATTTTACCTCCTTCTGTGACTACTTTTGGCCATGTAACAAATGGTGACACCCTGCAAGATTTACACGATAGAATGCTCTGAATTTAAATAACAGGAATCAGAAAACATAAATTATGGGCACGATGCACTCTAAAATTCACATGACTGACTGCTACAAGAACTTCCCTCCCTCAAATGGGATTAAAAAGGTGAATGGTTTTGCAGAAATTCATAATTCTCCTGCCTGGTAGTTATTAAAGGAATTCACTTATCTAGCTCCGTTTGGGAGACTGATGTTATTTATTTTTTTTTTTTAACTTGCAGCCCATCTGTTTCATAGACTGGTTTATGTTGGCAAAACAATTCAGTCCTTTGTATACTAGAGTTAAAAATGGTAAAAGCTTCTATTGTTGCACTAGAGTGAAGGTGAACACTGATATATTACAAGTGCCTGTTCCTATCTATTTCTCGACTTCTTTTGTTAATTCAAAAACATCAACAAAATCGTGAGAGACCAGAGATAGCTGTAATTGGATTTCAAGTAATTCAGAGGTGAAGCTGCAGACTGCAGTCTTTTAAAATTACATCAGTACATCAAAGGCATATGTGACATGATGTTTTTTAGCAAGTGTGACAAACTCCGGCAGCATTAAGGTAATGTTGAAGTCAGGTTGTAAAGGCCAACTTCGCACACCCACAAAAATCACCTCATATCTATTCAGTGTGATATGGAGCCATTTCACTTGCAAAGATCTCTGACTTAGCAGCATGCAGAAGTTCTAGGAATAATTAATGTTTAGTCATTATCTAAAAAGCAGTTTTAAGAAAAGAATCAGTGAAAGAGCTTTATCTTAACGAAAACAAACAAATTCTATTTTGCCCAACAAATCTGATAAAAACACAGCTGCCTTCTCCAATCTTAAATGCAAAAGTGACTTACGATGTATGGGTTGCGCTTTTCTCTGGACTCTTTGGCTCAACATCACTTTTCCCTTTAAAAGAGAAGAAGAAAACGACATCAGAAATGGGTCAATGCGGAAACTGCTCAGATGTGACACGACAGCCCTTTACTCATTGCTAACACTGGCCACTCTTGCCACAGGTGCAGACCGCTGTCGAGGCAGTCACAGGGCTGCGGGGATGCTGCTGGAGCATTTGCAAGTGGGGAGTCAACCCTGACTTGACTTTTCTTGTCGCTGCCACATGTATTCTGGGAATGTCAGGCAAGGAAACTCCACGAGAGAGGCTGCTTGAAGGACACAAGCTTTACCAGGGACAGCAGACCTTGGAGCAATAGAAAGGATTTCCCTAGGGTCCTACAGCTCTGCTATTGGGAGTGTATCCCATCCAACACGCATGTGCTCCAAAACTGTGCTCAGGAAAAGTAATTATTTCATACAAAGCAAAACAGCATCAGCAGGAGTTAGTAAAGCAAAGATTAGGACACAGTTCTGCCAACAGATGCTTTTTGGTTCACATTCATTTTGACAGATTAAGGATCTGATCTTCAGCTCCCGTAAGTGGGGCTGGGGAAGCCCTCTTTGTATATTTTGGCTTAGGCGCTCAACCCCAGGAGAAGTCAGGTACCTAAATGCTTAAGAAGTATCAGAGGCCCAAGGGATGCCTCTTCACATCTCCTTATGACTCACATGGGTCCTGGCATAGCACGTTGGCTTGTGATGATCTCCCTCCTGGGTCCAAAATCATGTATCTGCCCAACGTGACTTAGTTATGTAGCAGACACTGGGGAAGCAGTCTACTAGCTGATGGGGTGGTACTGCTTCTGCTAAGTCAGGCCAAGTCCTTCCCCCTCCTTTCTCCCGCCCCCAAAAGTAAGGCTGATGTTTGTTGTAATTACTGCTCTCTGAGTAACCTGAGAGTGCCGCACTTCAGTGTAAGATTTTTGTTCAGCTCTACCATGGATGTACAACGTATGTCACTCCTCTTGAATCACCTTGAACTTGAATTCTGGACCTAGTGACTGTTCAGCTGCTGTTCCTCTTGTGTGTTGCTGGATGCTAATAGCTGTCTACACATGAGTTTACGCTGCCTATCAGACACGGAAGCACAGAGGTTGAGTGTGACTGGTTTACTGATGGCTGTGTTTTTCTCCATTACATTTTAATGAGCTTCATTAAAGCAAAATCCACCTGTGCCTTCTGAAAAAAAACATGAGAAGTGCTTGTTTTGGTCAGGCTGTTTCGGTATTGTCTGATGTTCTGCTCATTGACTTCAGTTGAGTGGGTTTTGAATCAGCCCCCAACCTCTTCCATGCACATGAGGAGTACATATCATCCATTGGCTGCTGACAAAGTCCTCAACTTCAGTTTTCATACAGTGTTGGGGTGCCAGCAATGACTGTAAGGGGCGCCTCTGGAAAACTTGCTGTTGCCTTCTGAAAATGCAGCGTTTTGCTACCAAGGTCCTTCCACTGCAGTACAGAAGCAAGCTGAAGGACTATAGACAGCGACCTTCTGGAAGCGGGTGTCTTGTAGAGGAGGTTCTGGGTATTTCGAACACCTTGCCGTGGTGGTTTTAGACCTCATCCTTCCCTCTGGAAGGGTTTGTGTCTACCCAACTCAGGTGCCTAAACTTTAGCGAACAGGATGGGGAAACTCTGGATGACTTCAAAACCACCAATGCCTATCTTTGGACCTCTAGGGAAGCTAAGCACCTACTGTAGGAGGACAGCTAAAGGCACCTAAAATTTAGGCATGAACGGGGCATCCACGCAGGATGGAATACATCCACTCCATAATCTCTAGGTCATTTTTCACTTTTGGCAGAGACTTCATAAAGTATATCCAGATGATGAACTTGTGGGCTAGAAAGCAGTTGCTACAGTATATGTTTGTCAGCCTTAGGGTGCCTGGAGTCCTGGAGCTCATCTGCATTATGATAATTTGGAACAAGAAACCAATAGTAACAGTTGGCATACATTCAAAGATTTTCTATTTGTAACTTAGGCTTTTTATAAGTGATGAATTATTACCATGAACACTGGTTTGTTTGAGTGAGTGTGAGAGAGAATATGGATTCCTGAGTGCTTTGCCAGCAGAGTTCACATCAGTTCTA